TCTTTTCCATTATCCCTACATTCCCTATATAACCCCTAATATTATAGTAGTTTCCATTTTCTTTTCCATCTCCATCAGCAGTACGTCCTGAAGCCCAGCTTCATCGTATCCGCACGGCCGATCGTGTGTAGAGCTCGAAAGCCGCCGCGGTCGCCACTTTCTGGATGCCAGGATGTGGTTTAGGGTTATATTGGGGTTCTATGGGGGATAATGGAAAAGAAAATGGAAACTACCATAATAATGGGTTATATAGGGATTATAGGGTTATATGGGTGGTTGTCAAAATTATGGTCCCTTTTTGGGTACCCTGAATATTTGGTGCCGGATTATAATAGGGATCCAAAAAAGGGACCGTAATTTTGACAACCGCCCGTGTGGTTTCTAAAAAAAGTTTAGGGTTTTGGGTCTTTAGAGCTCAGCTTTCGGTGTTTTTGGTTTCGGGTTGTAGGGCTTGGAGATTTGGTCCTTGGGCTGAGGCTTCGGGTTCGGTTGTTTAGGGTTGATGTTTATCGCGGAGGGTTCATGGGCCTTGTTTCAATGGGTTTTTGTCCAATGGACTCCCCCTGCTAATTAGCTGCCCCTTCATAGGCTATGCCAATTTCCAAAAAGTGCTGAAACCGGTATAACTAGATATCATTAAGTTCCATGACTAGATATCATTAAGTTCCATGAGCAGCCAACTATCTTTTTGGTGTTTGAGAGGGAATGAAGAAATAAGATAAAGGGGCAGTCATGGGCGATTACATAGGGACTACCACAGGATGCATGCCTCCATTTCCTGCTAAGCACTCGCAAAGTACTGTAAGGCTGATTTTTTGGTGATGTCGAGGGGGCAACCGTGTATTCAAAGGGTTCCATATGAATATAGCGGAATCTTTGGGATGGAGCTTCTGCACAAGGCTTGGGATGTAGGGTTTCAGGTGTAGGGGGTTTGGCGGAAGAGCAGGGCTTCGCACGGATGTCTTACTGCACGAGTGCTGTTGACCGTCCATCAGCAAATTTTGGGACAATTTCATCTTCAGGTGCTTTGAGGAGAGTAGGACCGTGGATCCCTGCAATACTCCACCAGAAGATTCCCTATATTCACTCCTCTAGGCAATTCCCCAAGCAACACTAAGGTTCATGGCCCAGTTCTTGGGAGGATTAAGACTAGGTACACCTAGTGGGGCCCTCTTGTTTGGAAACCACCTCTTGACTACGTCCTCAGGTAAATCACCCAGCAAACAATCAGAAAAAAAACAAGCTTACCCCAAACCAAACCCTATGGGCGTAAGATTTCCAAAAAGAGAGGTTTACTGTTTGAGACAAGCCGCCTACAGAGGGGTAGCGCGTTTGCTGTGCCTAGATCTGCGACACTATTGTATACATGGGCGATGTATCCATTAGGCAACAACTTGTCCTTGAAATGCAGGGCACTTAAGTAGTATTTTATTTGGGGGTACTATGGTACCCATTATAGAGTAAGATTATATCCTCCTTTTGGGGTATAGTACTTATGTAAGGAATATTATCTTACTAGGTTCAACCACCAAAAAAACACTGCTCACTTAGGCCTAGTGGTGAGCCCCCAAAATCCTGAGGCCACCATCCCAAGAGTTTAGGGCTTAGGGTCTATAGGGTCAAAGCCGCGAAGGCAAAACATCCTGAGGGTAAACGACAAGAGGCCAGCCAGCTCGGCAATCTCGCGCCGGAACCTCTGCTTGAAAACGGTTTAGAACTTTTCCCAGATGGAGTCGGGATTTAGGGATTTAAGGGTTTCGACATACTCTTCCCGACGTAGCATGGAGCCCTGCGCACCTACTGTCTTTGTAGAGGGGGCTATATGGGTTATATGCAGGAAGCTTGTTCTTTTCCGTTGGAACTGTATGAATTGCTGCCAGATATGGCTGATTCATTGATGCGCTGACTACCCTTATCCGCAGCACCGACCAAGCTATATCTGGGTTGCTGTTAAGGAACTTGAATTCAGTTGCTACAAGAATAAGGAAAGACTATTATTTGCTATCTACCCATGGTAACTTAGTTTAAGTTTCGCAACCCAGATATTGTTTCGTCAAGTCCCAACATGAAGGCCTAACACAATCCTAGCCAGCTGAATCATGCCATACCTCCAAAGCCACGGGGAAATGACCGCCCAACACGGAAAACAAACGATGGGACATGAAATGCCTGAAGCTAAGCCACAAGTGCAGAAACTCCTCGAACCCTAAACTCCGAAACATTTCTAGGTTTCCTTACCTTCCAAACCCTGAATCCAAACATGCTAAGCCCCTTTATAATCTATAAGCACTGCACAGGACCCTACCACCCACTAAAGAAGTACCCCTAGTTCTTGGAAACTAAAAACCCTAAACCTCAAAAGCCCCAAAGCTCCAAAGCCCCAAAAACCATAAACTCCAAAATGTAAACCCCGAACCCTGCACCCAAATGAACCATAGTCCTACATGGCACTTAGGACCCCTACTAAGGGTTAACCCTTAATTACCTATAATAGGAATATGAGGGAATCCCATAGGGTTAAGGGTCTAAGGTCCAAGCTAAGTCCCAAGGAGAGTCTAAACTCCTAGTATCCCCCTTACTCACCCCTCTAATAGTCCCCAACATAATCCACCCTTTAAGGAGTTTAGGCAAGAACCCAAATGCTGCCACGGAAGCGGTCCCGGTACAGCTGCGCCCGCCAGAATAAGGCTTTTGCAGGAAGCCTTGAAAGAATTCACTGGTCCCTTGTCTGGGTTGCTGTTATGGAATTTAAGTTAAGTTACTATAATAGGGGGTATACAGGGTTTAGGGTTGCTGTAATACGGAAACCCCATTTGGAATGGGGATGGTGAAGCGAATGGTCCGCTCGGTTGTCAGAAGATTTAGGTTTGGGGGGTGTTGATCGCATTTGAGTTTTGGCCTCTCTTGCTCACCCTAAACTCCAGGCAGTCTCGCGCAATGCCTTGCAATGCATCTGAAACCCTGTGCAATCCCGTCCTCTGAGTAGGGCAGGTCAATTGTGAGCAGTTTAAGGTCAAGTTGCAGGTGGATAGTGCGGACTGATGAGTAAACGTGGAGACCTTCAGGGGTGGCTCCAAAAATCGAGGCACGTTGTTTTGGGGAGTCCCATGTCAACGACTGAAGTATAATGGGTCAAACCCTCTTCCATGCTCTGAAAGGTCCAGGGCCGCCTAAGGCCTAAGGGTGGGGGATAGAGATTACGTTAGATCTGCATAGGATTCTTACTTGCTCGCAAAGGTTTTCTGAAATCCTTATCTACAGATGCATGCACATACCGTAGAGGGAGATGGATATGCTATAGAAGCGGCGAAGAAAGATGCTGGCAAGAATCGGTTTCAGGTTTAGGTTTTCTTGACCAAGGGGTCCCCTTCTATGTTGTTAGCAGGGGCCGTGCTTTTTTTGGGTAGTTTCGGGACTGTACAGTGGTCCATACTTGATAGGTGTTCAACTGATAACGTGAGTGCATTCTCGTGTTCGAGAAGGGTTTGTCAGAAGCTCAGTCGGGTATTCAGGGTTAATGGATCACAGGGCCCTGATGCCTATATTGCAAACCATAACCCCCAAAATTGGACTTTCTTCCGACACACTAATCCATAGCTCCTCAGCCTTCCACACTAGCAGGGCCAAAGCCCAGATCTTCGGCTCCCAACCCGAAGCTCTAGAGCAAACCTCAATCCCCTCCGTGTGCAAAATCCAGAACCCGAAGCCCTAAACCCTAAGCACAAAACCTCATCCCTGAATCCTACTCCCTAAACCCGAGTCCCTAGACCTTATAACCTCCATGTCCCAAATCGCGGCAGGACTACCATGGCGCCATCTTTGCGCAGCTCGCCCAAAGCCTCATTACCGGGTGGGTACACTTGAATAGGGTTTCTTATAGGGTTTAGGGTTTAATGGGTTTAGGGTGTAGGGTTAGGGGACACTAGGACTACATGAGGGCTCTGTAGGCGAACACACCTATGGCTTCCTTAGATTTGGGGCTTTGCGGATCCTGTGCTTGAGCTATGTACGAAGAGGACTCTGGTGACGCCCGCAGTGGCGCCCACGCTACCACTTCCTGCAAGCGTCGCCATGCCAAAGGCAGACCACGAAGTCTTATGCTCCGCTGGCGCAGCCAATGCAAGCAGTACCATGCTGGTGAAATCGCCAGGACTCTCGATTTAAATTAAACCGAATGACACCGGAAGCACTTTGCTTGGAACCCTGGCAGATTCTTACCGCTGAAAGTCTCGAATACTGAAATTTCAAGGTTGTTTTACAAATAGCCATCCAGATTTGTTTTTTGGACATAGAACCCAAGCATGTGGGTAACTGGACCTTTCAGGTATCAGGAGTCTAGTAGGCAGAACTAAAGTCATCTTATACTACTCAAAGCTTACATCTTCAGGGCACGCTTGCAACAATCGGGCTCAACAAATCCCTGCGGGATCCCTGAGCCTTCACGCCACATATGTAACATCCCATGGCCATAGCCCCTGAAAGGCCAGCACAAACCTGCCATTACATGATTTCAAGGGATGTGCAGGGTTTGTACAGAGGGTGTTTATCAGGGGTCCTGTTCACTGTCACAAATTGCCATCCTGAGTATATTAACGCCCTGAGCTCGAAAACCAGAACAACTCTGAGTTCAGAACCACCAGAGCAGCTACCAGAATCGCCCCTGTTCGTCGCAGCTTTGAATGGTTTAGCATTTTAGGTGCGTGGGGCCTATGAAGAGTCTGCAGTCTGGGGGGTGAGATGGTGTGTGCTGGATTTTTGCTGGGGCACCCCCGGCAAGCTGGTTTTTAGGCTCCACATGGGTCATAACAATCCGACAGCAAGACAGTTGACTTGTGGATTCAGCCACTTCATAAGCTGTGCAGAACAGGGATGCTAAGACTGATCTCTGGGTTTTTGTCGGCTACCCACGATTGTTCCTACTGATGCTTCTCTTAGAGATCTGTTCCTGGTTGTGTTTTCAGGTGTTTACATGAGGGACTATACGACACCACCAAGGGGACACCGAGGTCCACCCTTAAGAATCCCTCAGTAACACTGATACTGACAGTATCTTACATGGCAGCCATCTAGGTGCTTTTGGAGACAGGCCTGCTCTTCTTAGGAGCCATAGTCTAAACTCCTTAAAGGGGTTTATATAGCGGATTATGTAGGGGATTAAATAGGGGCCTACCATAGGGGTTATTAAGGGGGATACTAGGAGTTCAGACAGTGGCTCTTATCACGTTCTGAAATCGAAAAGTGTAGGTCGGTGTTGGTGGCAACAGCCGTATGGGATACAGACCAGATCTCTCCTCCAGCATCCGTACCCTGAGGCTCTGAAATCTTGGCTGAATTGAAGAACTTGCCTGGACTTATCTGAATAGTTGTTAGGAAACCAAATATGTACAAAAACGGTCTCATGGAGAGTCCCGTCTCTAAGTATACTGGGCTCTCAAACTTGCAGCCTTGGGTTTGCACAGATCCTGCATGATCCCTTGTAACTAAACTGTATGAATTATTGGTTATGGTGCACTTTCGGTCACGAAGGACCTTTCCGTCTGGATACCTCACCAGAAATTGGGTCACCTGGCTGCCCGAATCCTGCTGCAGAGCTGACCAGGCCCATTTATTCGAGGTATGGAAAACCGAATGTATGAGCAGAAAATATCTTACAGCCGCTTAAAATCAGTACTGTTGTTATAGATGATACGAGTGCTTCGTAGTATACTTACCCTGGCTTGATTGCTAGGCAAAACTGCGGCATATATGTTTGACTGCAAGATACCTGATTAGTCAAATCCTATCCAAGGCAACTGGACGTGAATCTGAATCTACATTGTCGATAGCAGAATACAGCATCCGCACTGTGAAGTTTAGGTCCTTCCTATCCATGAAGCGCAACACCCAAAAACGCCGATCTACCTCCAAAAAATTGCCTAGCCCAGACTCCTAATACTAAGGCCCCTTAAAAGGAGGTGGTTTATTAATCATATGTCTACACTATCTCACACGAAAACGATCAACATCGGCACCCGATTTGACGACCGTCCAAGCCGAAAAGCCCAGTTACTTCTGTGATGGGTTACTGTGCCTGAGCCCCCAACAAAATTGTATGACCCCAAGCAGAAACCTGCTTAATATAAGTTAACCTCCCCGCGCCCCAAATAAAGAATACTGTCCCGATTATAATCTCATGGTACTAGACTGGGATCACTCATTAGGAGGGGCTTGGGAAGGTTGTTTTTAAAGAGGGATGGGATTATAGCTTTATAGGGATTATCTTCTATAACCCTCTAGCCCCTTCAACAGAACTACCACTCTCCGGGGAGGGGATTAGGGAAACGATTTGGGCCCTTTGGGGGCTTTCCGAGACGGCCATTAAAGGGACTTTAATGGGAATCCCAAACAGGGAACCCCAAGAATATAGCAGGAACATAATAGGGATATAAGGACCCTGGTAGTTATATTCCTATTAAGTTACTAGTATATTCTTGGGGTTCCCTGTTTGGGGTTCCCATTAAAAGTCCCTTTAGCCGTGATCCGAGCCTTGAGAGAAACCGAGAATGCCGTCAAACGGACCTAGCGGTCCCGGATTTTGGGCTTGAGGAGTTAGGATTTTGGGGGCTTAGTGTTGAGAATGTAGTGTTTTGGGCGCACAACTACCATAGGAATTTCCCGAACCCTGCATATATAACCCTCAGCCCTCAACCCCTAAAACCCCCTTGAGGACTAGAATAGACTTATATAACCCTACACCCCCAAAAACCCCCCTTGAGGACTACAATACATATTCGGGGTTCAGGATTGAGGTTGGGGGGTTTGGGATTTACGGTTTGGGTGTTTTAGGCTTGAGGACTGAGCTCGCAGAAAATGTGGATTACAGTTATTCCCATACCCTCCCTAAACCTTAAACCCTGAACCTTAACCCCCGAACATTAACCCTTAAACCTTAACCCCTAAACCTTAAACCCCTAAACCTTCAATCCCTAAACCTTAACCCCTAAGGCTTAAACCCTGAACCTTAAACCTTCAACACAGTTTAGGGTTTAGGACTTAGGTTGAAGGCGTTCGACTGTCCCCATCTCTTCAAACACTCTTACCTGTCTAACTAATGGGTGCTTGTTCCTCAAACCTTAAAAAGGCTCATACGTAAAGCATCTAATCAAGGCGCCAACTCTTTGGACACAGGGATTTTACTGGAACACCTTCCCTCCTGGACACGGAAGCCATATGGTTTAGGGTTTACGGCTTACGGTTCAGGGCATGAACTGCATGGCTTGAATACTGAAGTCACCTTCATTCCACATACATGAGCGCCACAGTCAAAAGAAGCCTTCTTTGCATCTTTATGTTTCAGTACGCCTCCATGAACAGATGTTTGAGCGCTCATGTTCTCAGTTGGTTGCCCCTAAACCCTAAACCCTAAGTCCTAAAACCTAAGCCCTAAGCCCTGCACCCTAAACCCTAAGCCCACTTCAGATGTTTGCTGATGGCAGGGTACTGCTGGTGCCTCTAGCGCCCATCTATTCGGATCCCCCACCTAGTGCTGAGCCTGCGGTGTACGATCTCGAATACCAATCCACTCCCCCTCAGAAGCCCTGAAATAGTAAGTACCCATCCAGGGTTTAGGGTCCCCCCCGCCCAACATATAGAAATCTTGTCTTATCTATAAGGGGGTGGGTGGTCTTAGGATTTGGGGGAGGAGATTCTAAGGAAACCGCAACTAACAACTCTCAGCCTCCAGCCCTTGTCAAGTCAACCTCTTGGGCCTCCCCTGAATTGGCATTAACTAACCCTAAATAGCTTTAAAGACTAATTTTCCAATTGGGAACAAGGGCGAGTAGAGGGGCGGGGCTTTCCACCCCTGAATCATGAACCCTATAGGCCCTTAAACCCCTAGCTTAAAGCCCAAATCGCCAACCCCCAAGCCGTAAACCCCAATCCCTCAAAACATACTGACCACTGCAGCCTTGAGATATCCACACCTCGCGGATGTAGCGCAATGTCTCGTCCCAGCCCTCCTCAGCTAATGTAGAAGCCGAAAGAAATGCAAATGTTACTTACAGGGAATATGGGAATGTATCATATAGGGATTACAAAGGGAATATAGTCCCTTATGCCCTACTTAGAACCAGCAAGGTTAGGGGTATACAGGATGAACGGAAGATCAACAGGAAAATGAACGGAAATGGAACATGCCATGGAAAGTGGCGCTTTACAGGGCGTTAAGCATAGCTACCAATATGACGGTTCTAGATTCCTTTAATAAGTATAGTATAGGATACCCAGGGGGTACCTCAATGGAGCTCAACATGATATTGGTAGTTCATTTGACCTTTCTAGTAAACACGGTTTAGGGTTTTGTGGACTGGGGTTTAGGGCTTTGGGTTGGGTCTTGGGTTTAGGGTTTTGGGTTGGGCCCTTCTCTGAGTACCTACATAGGGTTTGTCAATGTCCCTTGACGGGGGTACGCGTAAGGATATATGGGGGTGGGAACGTTTGAAACGGGATGTTCTATCTATTCTTAGCCGCAAAAGCTGTGAATAGATAGGTTGTCGGGGCCTCCAATCGCGTAATTTATTGAGGCAGCCCGATATGTACGCCTTATGTGCAGGGCTCTCAAGATTATGGATCCCTTGTTGCCCTAGAATAGTACTTGAAGGGTCATGGGGCGATAGTAGGCGCATAATAATAACGGGGACAAGTGGGGTGTTTGTATGGTTTATCTGGATTGTAAGTTTACTTACTGCGACTATATCCTGAGTAAATACCCAAACCCGGAAGGTCAAAGTATGCAATACGGTTTGGGGTTCATGGTTTGAGGTTAGGGTTTGCATTGGTTGCCCATGCTTCAGTAGACCGTTTTGGGTAGTTGTGGGCTAATCTTACGTAGGATTCCGGCTCTTCAGTGAAAGTTGTTTGTAACTGCAAGCCCCCCTCAGGCTCATGCAGGGGTTCTAGCACCAAAAGCAGGACGTATCGAAGGGATGAATAGCGCACAGGACCAGAATAAGCTACTGTCCATCAGGAGCCTTGAGAACCCAGCCTCAGTGAGACATGATAAAACGTTGCCTGTGTTACTCACTATTTATCCGTGAGATAACCTACATATGCACAGAGAGTTACGGCAAGTAAGTCCCACGAACTTGCAACGTGTAAGCCCCAATTCATCAACTGGAATCCAGAGCTTTGACTACGCCACGAGTAACCTCCAACTATCCCTCGATCCGGCACTTCTTCAAGTCAAAGCTGGGCAGCAATGAAGGCAATCACTTCATAGTGTGTGCCTCGCAATCCTAAACCTTGACTTCCATGGCCCCAAATGCAAAAATGGAACTACTATAGTGCATTGGGGTTATATGGGTGTATACATAAGGGTTATCTTGGGATAATGGAAAATAAAATGGAAACTACTTACCTGGGCGCAGTATGTCCCATGATGACCCCAATGTCGCAAGAAGTGCGCAAACCTGCCGAGTGGCGAACGTGGAAGTTGTAAAGGAACGTTCTCCGGGCGGCAGGTGCCACCACGCCTTGGTCATGGGTTCCAGTAGTACCCCCCTCTATACTACCCCCCCTAGGGTATAGGGTTTAGGGTTAAGGGTTATTTAGGGATAGTTACGCCTAACTAAGGTTAATTAAGGGGGGAACCTAGGGGGGGTAGTGTAGAGGGGGGACACTTGGTGTTAACACTCTTCCCCAATGCCTAGACCCCCAATGTACAAGTACTGTATGGGTGAATATTCAATATCAGGATGTTGGGGAAACTTTTGTATAATGGGTAGATGAGGCCTATATAGGGTCATGAAGACTTAGCTATATAAGGGGTTTGTAAGGCCTTGTGGGGTACTTTGTTGGGAGCCGCCGCCCTCTCGTTGCCTTAGACGTATCTGGACGCTGCTTAGGAAGCGTCATCCAGATTTGCTGCTTACACTCTCCGCGCCCTTGGCACCCCTCCCAATGCTCCTGTGTTGGAGGTTTAGCTTCCATGCTGCAGTACAAAGTTCTGACCTTGAACCGCCTGCATCTGTGTCTATGGTCCGGGCATGTGAGCAGGGCTCTTTGATGGCAGGCCATAAAACATGGTATTTACTTGTGTGGGTGAAGGCGTGGACCTTTGCTCCTACTTCAAGCCTCCGCATTTTGACCAGCAACACCTTGAAATAAAAAACACATAAGCCCCAAACCCGAAACCCTCAATTAGTGAGGCCCGGTGACGAAGCCCGGTGGCAAGCTGTGCGGAGCATCAACGCAGACCTTCGCAAAACACTCAGGTTAGGGCTTAGCGTTTAGGGATTAGGGAATACGTTTGGAGGTTTGGGAATTGGGGCTATGCAAGCCTTGGCTGTTTATCAACTAAAGTTCGGGGCCTGCAGCTGCTTGTGAACAATCTGTTGACCTGGTTGGGTGTTTGAGCTAGCTAGCTGAGAATAATCTGTGGAGAGGAAGTGCAACTTAGGAACCGATACACCTGCCATAATGCCATTGATCCTAGCCCATAGACCTTAAAGGAGCTATAGCCTAAACTCTTAATTCGTATCACCCTCCAAATACTCCCCTATAGCACCCCCAAAAAGAACCCCTCAAAAGGAGTTTAGACTACAGACCACATGATCAAGCAGGTTTGCACTACGCTGTTCAGGTCCAGGTCCAGTCCGCACCGCTACCGTAGGCCCGAGAAGGACTGTCAGGGAACAATGTCGATAACTTCTCAGGCCTTGACATTCTTGCTGCGATTGTTTTCGTTAAGCACAGCTTATCCTTAAATTTTGGGCCGTAAACCGCAAACGCTAAATCGTTTCGGGTGAGCGGTGGACTTCTCAGGGGCTAATAGAAGGCCCGAGAGCCCAAGCAGGAAAACTGCAAAGCCAAAGCTCAGCAATGTTCCTTCAACTCTACTCTGGGAAGATAGCTGAACTTACTGAGTTGCTGTGGAGGAACTTGAATGAAGTCATGAATGGCAATGTGGTTCCTCTGCAAATGCTGCTTAGCTTCAGCTATTTAACAGCAACCCGGCTTAACATGAAGCCCGGATTGTGTTGTGCTGCTTGTGGCCTGATTAGGTTACCTACTGCAAGTATCAGCCTGAGATGGTCAACTATCGACCCATCATGGTCGAGGGTTCGGGGTCTGGGCCCCTTGAGCTTCATGTGGGGGCCTACGCAGCCTAGATCAGAATTAGGCTTCGCTCGTCAGACCAAGATGATGCTGCCTCAGATTCTGCGGGAACTATCGGCGTTAGTTCGTCCCACCCGCATGATGATCGGGATTGATAATCAACAAATCGAGCCACACGAATTGCTACTAGTAGATGCTTTCCACCCTGATTTCGTAAGAAAGAGACTGGCGTCTTGGACAAGGCTTGTGGCTCAGCTGCATGTTGCTCAGTGGCAATGTTGTGCCCTCCCCCAAACTAACACGGGTTCTTTCAAGACTTGTGTCACAGGAAAGAGTCTACATGGAGCTCCATGTCGTAGGAAGGATGGACTCCATTGCCCATGTAGGTCACTTCATGAAGGCAACAGGCTAAGCATCAACGCTAAGCCCAATCAGCATAGGTTTGGGTGGCCCAGCTGCCA